GGGTGGGATTGAGGGACGTGGTGAGTGGGTGGGATTGAGGGACGTGGTGAGTGGGTAGGATGATCTGGCGAATATTGTTGAGCTAAGTTGACCTTCCTGTGCCTTTAACCTATTCCAATTCACACATGCCCTCAGAATGGAAAGGAGTTGGTACGATGCCTGTATTTTATCTCAGACTGTCTGTGTGGCACCAGACATTCCACAAGGAACCACTTGTAATTTAGGAAGGACTGGCAGTGGACAGTCTGCTACTGGAGGCTATCTGCAGGTTGACCAGCCTGGCGTCAGTAACAGTGTGGTTAGGGAGGTCAAGGTGGCACCCCCTGCTGGCATCCATAAGTCCTGCAAGCTTAGGACAGACAGCACAGAGTTACTTCACACTTACACAACACAGTCTAGACACAGGAACACATCCACACCCTTCACTTAGATTCCCCTGTTCATTAATATAGTTTTAGTCAAGAAAGGATTGAAGATCGTTAAAACCCTTCAATAAGGTGACGGAAGATCTGCATCACAACTGGATTTAACCACTTGTTTTCCCTCCACACCCATGATAAGCTACTGAGCAAAAGTCTTATTGATCTGGATCCAATTATCTCCAGCATTCACATCATCTTTTTTACCTGATGAACCTCTCTCTGTAAAAGCGTTTCCTGATATCACTCCTGAATGGCCTGGTGCTAATTTTAAGATGACGTCCTCTTGTTTTAGATTCACAGAATGGTTCCAGCACCTATGGAGGCTATTCAGCTCACCAGGTCTATGCTAGCAATGAGCAGGAGCAATCCAGCTAGTCACACACCTCCATCCTGGAATTTGTTGTCTCTGTCAAGTATTTTCCACATTCACTTTTTGAAAGCTGTGATTGACTCTTCCTTCGCCACCCTTTCAGGCAGATTGTATCCGCACCCATACTGTCACACTGCACAGAAACAGACCCTTCGGCCCAACTCGTCCATGCCAACCAAGTTTCCTCAGTGAACTTGTCCCATTCGCCTGCGTTTGGTCCATATCCCTCTAAACCTTTCCTATCCATGTACCTGTCCAAATGTCTTTTAAATGTTGTAATTGTACTTGCATCTACCACTTCCTCTGGCAGCTTGTTCTAAAACCGCACCACCGTCCGTATGAAAATGTTACCCTTTGGGTCCCTTTTAAATATTTCCCCTCTCATCTTAAACCTATGCCCTTTAGTTTTGGACTCCCCTACCCTGGAATGGCTATTCACCCTATCCATGCCCCTCATGATTTTATAAACCTCCATAAGGTCACCCCTCAGCCTCTGACATTCCAGGGAAAATAGCCCCAGCCTATCCAGCTTCACCCCATGACTCAAACCATCCAGTTTTGGTAACATCCTTGTAAATCTTTTCTGCACCCTCTCTAATTTAATAATATGCTTCCTACAGCGGGGAGACCAGAATTGTACGCAGTATTCCAAAAGCGGCCTCACCAATGTCCTGTACAGCCAGAACATGACCTCCCGACTCCTGTACTCAATGATCTGACCGATGAAGGCAAGTGTGCTAAATGCCTTCTTCACCACCCTGCCTATACCTGTGACACCACTTTCAAGGAATTATGTACCCGAACCCATAGGTCTCTCTGTTCGACAACACTCCCCGGGGTCCTATCATTAGCTATGTATGTCCTGCCCTGGGTTGTCTTACTGAAATGCAAATACTTCGCATTTATCTAAATGAAACTCCATCTCCCACTCCTTGGCCCACTGGCCCAGTTGATCAGGATCCCGTTGTACTCTGAGATACTTTTATTCACTGTCTCTACTCAAACAATTTTGAAGTCATTTGTGAACTTATTCACCATGCCTCCTGTATTCTCCATGGGATGTGGATGTTGCCGGCAAGGCCAACATTTGTTGCCCATTCCTATTTGCTCCTTGAGAACTGCTGCACTGAGGGAAGATGTTCCCAGGATTTTGAATCAGTGACACTAAAGGAACAGTGATACATTTCCATGCCAGGATGCCCTGTGGCTTGGAGGGGAAATTGGATCATGAGGTGTTCCCATGTATCTGCTTCCCTTGTCCTGCTAGATGGAAGTAGGATTGGAAGGTGCTGATGGAAGAGGGTTGATGAATTTTTGTGGGTTCGGATGGTACACACTGCTGCCACTGTGCATTGGCAATGGAGGGATGGTTCTACTCTGTCCTGGATGGTGTTAAACGTTTTGAATACTACTGGTGCTGCATCATCTGGACAAGTGGAGACTATCCCATCAAAATCCCAACTGTTTTTTGGATGATGGACAGGCTTCAGGCGGTCCAGTAAATTACTTGCCACAGAATTCCCAATCTCTGACTACTGTTTCAATCATAGTATTTGTATAATTAGCCCAGTTCAGTTTCTGGTTGATGTTGATGGTGGGGGATTTAGCAATGGCGATATCATTGAATTCAAGGGGTAATGGTTAGATTTTCTCTTGTTGGAGGTGGTCTTTGCCTAGCATATGTGTGGTGTGAATATAACCTGCCAGTTGTCAACCCATACCAGAATATTGTCCAGATCTTGCTGCATTTGAACACGGACTGCTTCAGTATCTGAGGAGTCACGAATGGTGCTGAACATTGTGCAATCATCAGCGAACATCCCCATTTCTGACCTTATGATGGAGGGAAGGTCATTGAAGCAGCTGAAGATGGTTGGGCTGAGGACACTATCCTGAGGAACCGCTGCAGAGATAGAGTCATAGGGTCATACAGAATGGAAACAAGTCCTTCAAGTCCAACCAGTCCATGCCAACCATAATCCCAAACTAAACTGGTCCCACCTGCCTGCGATAACAAGGTCTACACCTGGATGAACACAGCAGGCCAAGCAGCATCAGAGGAGCAGGAAAGCTGATGTTTCGGGCCTAGACCCTTCTTCAGAAATGAAAACCCACCTGCCTGCGCTTGGCCAATATCACTCCAAACATTTCTTATTCATGTACTTATCTAAATGTCTTCCAAATTTTGTTACTGTACCCACATCCACCATTTCTGCTGGAAGTTCATTCCACGCAAGAACCACTCTCAGTGTAACAGAAATGCCCTTCATGTCTTTTTTAAATATTTCTCCTCTCACCTTAAAAATATGACCCCCAGTCTTGAAATCCCCCACCCTAGGGAAGACACCTGCTATTCACATAATCTACACCCCTCATGATTTTATAAATCTGTATAAGGCTATGCCTCAATCTCCTACATTCCAGTGAAAGAAGTGCCAGACTATCCAGCCTCTCGTTAAAACTCAAACCTTCCATTCCCAGCAATCCTGGTAAATCTCTTCTGAACCCTCTCCAGATTAATTATATCCTTCTTATAACAAGGCGAGCGGAACTGGACACTGTACTCCAGAACAGGCCTCACCATGTCCTGTACAACCTCAATATGTCCTGGGGCTGAGATGACTGACCTCCAACAACAACCATCTTCCTGTTAGGTATGACTCCAACCAGTGGATAGTTTCTCATCTGATTCCCATTGACTCTAGTTTTGCCAATGCTTCTTAATGCCACACTGACGGGCATTTGGGTAGTGGGTCTGACATCTTTAAGTTGGATTTGGGGAGAAGGGTGGTTTCTATGGGACAAGGAATTTGTGGAAAAGGTGAGTCATTGGGATGAGGGATATGGGGAGAAGGTGAGTCATTGGAATGAGGGATATGGGGAGAAGTTGGGCCATTGTGATGAAAGATGTGGGGAGAAGGTGAGTCATTGGGATGCGGGATTTGGGGAGATGATTGGTCATTGGGATTATGGATTTGGGAGAAGGTGAGTCATTGGGATGAGGGATTTGGAGACAATGTAGATTCAATGCTGTTTGACTCTATAATGGTATGGAGGAACATGTTGTGATTACGGAAGGAGGAGTGATCTGTGAAAAGGGATAATCTTGTAGAAACTGCCAATCCATGTTCCTATAATTCATTCCACTTCATGTTTAAACTGAACAGCAAAGAGTTTCAGGGAGACCTAATTGGTATTATTACAGACTGCCCAAGGACAGCAGATTTCTTAAAACAAAATGTGAACCTGATGGGTTTTTACAACAATTGGTGTTACAATATGGTACTGGAACCTTTTCTGAGACCTTACACTTCAACAATTTTTTTCATTGGTTGAATTTAAATTCCACCAGCTTCGATGGTGGGATTTGACCACGTGGCTCAAGGCAATGATCTATAACCTCTGGATTGCTGCTCTGACATTACAATTACATCAGCCTCAGATTTGAATTCAGAACTTCTGGATTAGACATTAGACTGCAGCAAGGATGGATGGCTGGATAACAGAACTCTAGCACTGCCATAATAACTGAGATTGATAGAGAGGGCTGTCTAACAACAGATATGTTACAATTGGGGCATTGGAGGTGAGGGAGAGCTGGGTCTGAATGAAACCCGAACCTCTTCTATAACTTAGCTGTGTCCGTGGAGCATTGTGTAAAATAGAGAAAGGGTGTTGGGGACAATCAAAAAAAAATCTAAATATTTAGACCAGAAGTAGGATTGAGATGAGGAGAAATTTCTTCACTGAAGAGGACGGTGAATTCCGTATCTGAAAGGGCTGTACCAGCTCAATCATTGAACTGGTAGAAGACGAAGACTGATGGGTTTCTGGAAACTGATGACCGGTGAGGGATGAGGAAATAGTGCAGGAAAGTGGTTTTGAGGGGATGGTCAGTCATTTCTAGAATGACCAGGAAGGCTCGATGGGTTGAATGGCATTCATGCTGTTCCTATGTTGGGCTCTGCCTAAAGCATGTAACTGAGTAGTGCATCTCAGAGGGACTTCAATGCAGCTTCAAGCCTGTCAGCCCATTCGGCCCCATTTGTCCTGATATCTCACTGGGGGGCGGGCAGTGCCCGCTGGGCGAACAGTTGATAATGTGAGCACCCGCCGCCAGGTGGCAGCACCTCCAACCTCCGCCCAGTTGGAGGGGACATGTGACACCGGCCATCCAATCAGGAGCGGGAGGGGGGCGGGGCCACTGGAACCCGGAAGCGGAACAGTCAAAGGGATGTTGGTGACCCGGTAACTGTCTGTGTATCCCTGCGGAGAGGGGTAAGGGGGTGGGAATTATAGAGTCTGTACATTCAGGAGGTAAATGTTACAAATACATGTGTATGTCAGGGAGGGGGGGAAGGGAAAAGTCGGTGAGAGGGTTGTGTGGAGGGGGAGAACAGGAGGAGTGGGTGGGGGTAAGGGGAAGGGGGAGAGGGGCTCGGGAAGATGTGGTAAATGTGGGTAGGTGGGAGGGAGCTTGAAGGGGTAAATGTGCTGCTCCTTGTAACTGACTTATCCACTTGGACCATGAAAGGCCTTTCACTGATGAACGAAATGAGTCTTTTCGTTAAGGCTTGTGTACCCTTCAGAACCTTAGGCTGGGGACAAGGGTTCGGGGGGGGGAGGGGGGTGGGCAGGGAAAGAGGGGGAGGGGAAGGAGGGAACTCTCTATGTGGAGTTTGCACATTCTCCCCGTGTGTGTGTGTGTGTGTGTGTGTGTGGGTTTCCCCTGGGTGCTCCGGTTTCCTCCCACAGTCCAAAGATGTGCAGGTTAGGGTGGATAAGCCGTAGGAAACACAGGGTTACAGAGATAGGGACTGGGACTGCCTGGAATGTTCTTCAGAGGTTTGGTGTGGACTTGATGGGCCAAATAGCCTCTTTCCACACTGTGGGGATTCTGTGATCTTAGTTCGGGTTCGAAAAGAAATTTATTGGGCACTTTTGGGCTCTGGGATAGAGTTGGAGAAGTGGAACCGAGTGAACTGTTGCAGAGGGAAGCATGGACTCAGTGGGCCAAATGGCCCACGGTGTCATAATATCTATATGACAATGAGAGCTAAGAACCACTTGGGTGGAGCAACTGCGATTATATTTCCTCTTTGTATTTCCAAAGATCCGGACATGGACACACGCTTCACCAGGGGCAAGTCTCCCATTCTGGAGCGCTCGCTAACTCGCCCAAAGACCGAGGTCAGCCTGAGTGCGTTCGCCCTGCTGTTCTCCGAGATTGTGCAGTACTGTCAGAACCGGGTGTACTCTGTGTCCGAGCTGCAGAACAAGCTGTCCGAGCTGGGCCAGCAGGTCGGCGTGCGCATCCTTGATGTGCTGGTGATGCGTGAGAAGAACGGCAAGCGCGAGACCAAAGTCATCAACATGCTGCTCTTCATCAAGGTCAACGTGTGGAAGGCGCTGTTTGGCAAGGAGGCCGACAAGCTGGAGCAGGCCAACGACGACGACAAGACCTACTACATCATCGAGAAGGAGCCCCTCATCAACGCTTACATCTCAGTGCCCAAGGAGAACAGCACACTAAACTGTGCCTCTTTCACAGCGGGCATCGTGGAAGCCATTCTCTCGTACAGTGGCTTCCCTGCCAAGGTCACCGCTCACTGGCACAAGGGCACCACGTTGATGATCAAGTTTGACGAGTCGGTCATCGCGCGTGATAAAGCTTTGGATGGACGCTAAGTTTCTGCCCGGCTCACTTTGTTCTGTCTCTCCCCTCCCCTTTCTCTTCCTACGTGGTCCACCCTACCCCCACCAAATCTCAAACCAACAAATCTCTGCTTCACCTTGTAACATTGAAATGATTTTTCCTTCGGCCCTCACTGACCATTCCAAGCTTTCCCTATGTTCAAGCCTGTGTTCCTGGCTGTGCCTTGCAGTAGCCTCTCCCCGTGCCCTGGGACCTGACCGATATAGATCGTATCTGAAAGAAGGCCAGCTGCTCCCAGTGTTTGCGCTATCTGAACCTGTACGGGAAAGTTAGCTGTTATAAAATCAGACCACGTAGCTAGTGGCAACACTGTCTCTCGTGTGGGAGGCTGCCATGATTCAGGAATTATTCTCATCTCTGTAATAGTTTATACAGAGTGGGATAGAATTTTACAGATTTTAGTTTTAACTCCCTGAAAGGGACCACTGAATGTGGGGTATGGGGTGGATTTTGGAAATTGGCAAAGCGTTTCCTCTGCATCAAGGGCTGTTCTGATCTCACTAGCAAAGTCTGAGTCTAACCCTGTGCAGTAATTGCGCTGCGAGTGTTTGTGAGGGTTGGGGCTGCTGGAGGGGAATGTTTGGGGACAGCGTACAGGAGGCTTTACACTGTGTCAACCCCATGGCGTACCTGTGCTGGGAGTGTTTCTTGGGGACAGTGCAGAGGGAGCTTCACTTTTAGTTTGAGTAGACGGAGCTTTACTCTGTATCTAACCCTGTCCTGGGAGTGTTTACTGGCACTGCATGCCTGAAACCGCTCACATTTGACAACAGATTGCTTGTTTCTCTTCCTTTTAAAAGAAATGTGAGGTGTTTGAGTGTCCGAGTTAAGGGTTTGTCTGCCAGCGTTGTGTTGAGGTGGTCCATTTGTCTGATCTCCATGTGGAGTTGCATCCTTTGACTTGAACCCAGCTCCAGCAGACAATGGAACTAGGAACAACTGTGTATATTATTCCAATAAAGTTGTGACAATTAATTTATGTGTAGAGAATGGACTGTTTCATAATTTGTGATTAAAATGGGTGTCGCTGGTATGTAACTCCCCGGTTGTTTCTGTCACAAGTCAGTGTGTGTGGCACAGAAACGTGTCTGCCCCTGTAAAGTGTGTGTAAAATCTAAAGAGGATATAAGTCCATCATGAATCACAGTGAAATCATTTGTTGTGTATCTAATCAAGCCTCCAATTCTTTGCCTGTTTGAGAGTCTCTACCTCTGTGTGTCTCTGTAGCTCTCTCCCTCTAGTCCTGTGACTGGATTTTCATCAGTGTACATGAAGGGTTTAGTTACAGGGACATTGATTATTCTTTTGACCACCAGAGGTGTCATATGACAGTGTAATCCCTCTCTGAATGCAAGATTCCTCAAAACAAGATGAGCCAAAACTTTTTGTGCAGTCGAATTCCCTGATCTTTATGCAGTACTCCCGAATGTGGCCTTACCAGCTCCTGTACTCAATGCTCTGACCAATGAGGGTGAATATGCCCAACACCTTCCTCACCACCCTGTCCACATGTGAAGCCACTTTCAAGGAACTATGTGCCTGTACCTCCAGGCCTTTCTGTCCAAATGGAACCCCTACAATATGGAAACAGGCCATTCAACCCATACCAACCCTCCAAAGAGCATCCCACCCAATCCATCCCCATCCCTGTAACCATGCATTTCCCATGGCTAACCCATCTAGCCTGCACATCCCCAGACACTATGGGTAATTTAGCATGGCTAATCCACCTAACCAGCTCATCTTTGGACTGTGGGAGGAAACCCATGCAGACACGGGGAGAATGTGCAAACTCCACACAGACAGTCGCCTGAGGATGGAATTGAACCTGGGTCCCTGGCACTGTGAGGCAGCAGTGCTAACCACTGTGCTGCTGGGTTGTTTCAGCACTATGGAAACAGAGGCAACTCCTAACACAAAATCTCGACCAGAACCGTGAGGGGAAGCTCTGTCCTTTGATCGATCAAGCTGATCCCTTCTCTGCTTAACCTCAATAGTCTGAGCTAAACATCAAAGAATAAAAACTGCCTTTCTTTAGCACCTTTCCCAACCTTAGGTTGTCTCTGGGTGCAGTCATTGCAGAACAGAAGGAAGCTGTTTGGCAGTTGTGGTGTAATCTGGTCAGTCTTGTTGCATAAAACCATGAGATCTAGGAGCAGAGGTAGGCTGATTGGTCCTTTGGGTCTGCTGCATCATTTAATGAGATCATAATTGATCTGATAATTTTCAACTCTTTTCCCATAGCCCTTGATTCCCTTACTGATTAAAAAATCTATCTCAGCCTTGAATATACATAGTGACCCAACCTTGACAGCCTCTGTGCGAAAGAATTCCACAAATTTACTACCCTCAGAAGAAATTACTCCTCATCCCTGTTTTAAAATTGGGTGACCCCTTAATCTAAGGTTTTGGCCTCTGGTCCTAGACTCTTCCAGAAGGGGAAACAATTTTTCCACATCTATCCCGGCAAGCCCTCTAAGAATGTTGTATGTTTTAATGGATCATCTGTCTATCTTCTAATCTCTGAGTACAGGCCCAACCTACTCAACCACTCCTTGTAAGACAATCCCTCCATAGCTGGTATCAGCCTTGTGAACCTTCTCTGGACTACGTCCAATGCCTACATACCTTTCCTTCAATAAGGAGACCAAATTGTTCCACAATATTCCAGATGTAATTTGACTAGTACCTTTTTGCGTTTAAGAACTAAAGATGGGTCACCGGACTTGAAATGTTAACTTTGCTTTCTGTACACAGATGCTGCCAGACCTGCTGAGTTCCTGCAGCAATTTCTGTTTTAGATCTGTATTCTTAAACTCCATTCCCTCGTCTTTCCTATTATCAGCAGAACTTATATCCCTCTCGCCTGAGAGTTTAAATCATGCAAATGCTGCCCATTTGAAATTCTTTGGAAAACGTGTCCCCGCTGTGTTTAACATGAGCTCTCGGTCACTACTGTGTGTACATAAAAGAAAGCTCCCTCACATTATCTTCCTGTCTCCCTCTCGGAACCTTGAATCTCTGCCCCCGGTACTGGTGTTTTCAGTGCCAGGAATCTGGGTTGCTGTGGCAATGTGCAATTTTACAAGCATGTTGCAGCCAGCAACTATGAGTAATGATAGTAGAGGCTCCAACATTTATTCCATCACGTAACAGAGCAGTAATCTTTACTGCCTGCTACTGGGGATAAGGATTTACAATTTGATGCTCAACCTGTTGGTCCATGTCGTAAACCACTTTCCTTGGCCATTGGTCCTGGAGGAACTTAAATCCAGACTGCCTGGCAGAGGCATGGGCACTGCCCACTGTGACGTGAGCTCTTGTCAGGCTGTTCTCACCACCAGTGAATGGGAGCAATCTTTCTTTGTCATAACTTTGTACATCTCTAGCTACACCAACAACCATGGCTCGAGCTTTCCATGTGGCTCGTTCTACATGCGCAAGTTTTCATTGATTCGTTGGATGTGGGCGTCATTGGCTGGGCCTGCATTTATTGCCCAAGTTGCCCTTGAGAAGGTGGAGATGAGTTGCTGCCTTAAACCGCTATGTGCTGTGGGTAGACCCACAATACCCTCAGGAAGGGAATTCCAGGATTTTGACCCAGCGACAGTGAAGGAACGGCGATATATTTCCAAGTCAGGATGAAGGAGAACTTGACTCCAAGAACCCAATGCCCTTGTCCTTCTACATGGTCACCGGGTTCCTAAGGAGCCTTGGTGAATTTCTGTAGTACATTTTGTAAATAGTATACACTGCTGTTATGGAGCATCGATGATGGTGACTGAGGGTTTGTGGATGTGATGCCAATCAAGTAATATATTTTGCCCTGTGTGATGTCAAGCTTTTTGAGTGTTGTTGGAGCTGCACCCATCCAAGTGAGTCCATCACACTCCTGACTTGTCCCTTGTCAATGGCGGACAAGCTTTGGGGAGTGCGGAGAACAGCAGTGTTCCTAGCCCTGTCCTTTTCCGGTAGCCGCTGTACCTATATTGGCTAGTTCCGTCCAGCTTCTGGTCAATGGTAACTCGCAGCATGTTGATATGGGGGATTCATACGCAGGGACTCATTCTCTGAACACAAAAGGGATACATTTAGGCTTTTTTTTTTTGAATTACCTGGACTCTTAAGTAGCCAATATTAAATGTTGCTGTCTCAGAAGATGGCATTTAATTGTAAACTCAAATTTTTCAGCATTTTTCTCAAATCTCAAAGGTTGAAGACATGCCATTTCTGCTTATTTGGAGGAAACACTCAACCTGCTTTCTTTGAATCTGGTTTCCGTTCCCTGGTTTCTTTGTTTAAGAACAGCAGGCAGCAATAGGCCACATAGTGACAGATCAGTTAGTCTGATGTCAGTGGTGGGGAAATCATTGGGAAAAAATTCTGATGGACAAGATTAATCAGGGATAGTCAGCACAAACTTGTTAGAGGGAGAAACCGAAAGAAACTGCGCACGCTGTAAAATCGGGAACAAAAACGGAAGTTGCTGGAAAAGCTCAGCAGGTCCGGCAGCATCCGTGAAGGGGAAAAAAAAAAGAAAAATCAGAGTTAATGTTTCAGGTCTAGTAACCCTTCCTCAGTTCGGAGGGTCACCGGACCCCGAAACGTTAACTGATATTTTTCTTCACAGATGCTGCCAGACCTGTTGAGCTTTTCCAGCAACTTCTGTTTTTGTTAGAGGGAGATCCTGTCTGACTAATTTGAGTTTCTTGAAATATGTAGAGTTGCCTAAATATGAGGGTAGTACAGTTGATGTGGTTCACATGAACTTCAGTCAGGCCATTTGACAAGGTCGCACATGCAAGGCCAGTCCAAAAGGTAAGATCCAGTAGGATCCAAAGTCAAGTTGGCAACCTGGATTTAAAATTGGCTTGCAAACAACTTCACCCAGAGTCTGGTTGAAAAATGGAACATGCTGCCTGAGATGTGGTGGAGGCATGCACTCTTGTAATATAAGAAGCATCTGTATGAATGCATTAAATTCTCAGGCACAGTAGGCTATGGACCAAATGCGGGTAAATGGGATAGGTGTAGTTTGGTGTTTGTTAGTCAGCATAGACCTGATGGGCCAAAGGGCCTGTTTCTATGCCCTATGACTTTCTCCTAACTGGCTGCATGATGTTGTTCAACATCATTATTTCATGGCACAATTGTAATTGGGTTGTATTTTAACAGTAATCTCACAGGGTAGAAAGAGCAAATGACACCTGAACAATAAAGTGAAATGATTGGACAATGTGGGTCATCACTATCAGAGGTGCTGGGTCCCTGGGGTGGCTGTGGCAGTGGTGAGTTGGGCAAATTCTCAACAGTTCACAGTTACATCTGCATTTACTTCATCAACAAAACTGAAGACTGCTGATTTCTTTTGAAAACAATGTATTTTCAATAGCTACTACAACTTTATCACATTTCAAACATTCTTTGCAAAAGCACTAAGATAAAGTGAGATAGTTAACTAGACAAATGCACAATGGTTAAAACGCTTGCAAACTATGTACATAATGAATCAGTAACCTGTTTTGCAATGTGCCCATTACACATCACGTGTCCTGACATTTAATCCCACAGAGCCTGCACACACAGTAAACATCCATTAGCAACAATTAAATGGAATTCCAGCTATTATCCCATCTTCCAGTCACAAGATAATTAGGAATGACTAAAACCATCTAGCCCAGCTCATTCTGTCCAAGCTAAAGGGGTGGCACGGTGGCTCAGTGGTTAGCACTGCTGCCTCAGAGTGCCAGGGGACCCATGTTCGATTCCAGACTGTGCATCGAGTTTGCACACTCTCCCCATGTCTGCTTGGACCTTCCCCTGTTAGGAGGGTGAGGATCCCTCTGATAATTAAAATCAAAACACTAGCCCCCAATCTGTTATGTTGGGAGGAGAGATCCCCTTCTAATAATTAAACCTGAAACACCCAGAGAACCTCACCTAATCTGTTAAAAAGGAATGGTTAAATGACAGAA